ATCCATGTATCTCTTCTTCTGTTGTATCGGCCTGGCATCCGGCCGAACGGCCAACCTGTGGCAGATAATTTCAGGGTCAATCCCCGGCATGTCCTCCGGTCCCCTGGCGAACAAGATTTTGAACCTTCGGAGGACCACGATTACACCCTCTCGGATCTCAGGCTCCAAACCAGTCCCGATGGATACCTTCCAGTCGGAAGGATCATCCAAATCTATTTCTTCAAGTTGCGTTGCCGGCTCCGGTCGGGATAAGGCATCTTCCTGTCGGGCGGTCTCCGCAATGCTGTTGACCCTCATACCCCGGTCGGCCATTTTTTCACGGCCTCTTTGTAGCAGGCCCTAGCTGTGTCTAGTTCCGTACGGGCCACCCCCACCCCCGTCTCTGTGGGGAACTTGATGCAGGAATGTCGTACGAAGCAGATAGCCTCTAGGTCTTCCAATCCTGGCCTCCCCAGAATGGCATTGTGGGCACACTTCAGCCGCATGACTACAAAGGTCATGGGGATCGTCGCACGATGTTCTCCACCTCGAATCTCTACTCGCAGGACAATTGTTTCTTCGGCTTCGATGTTGTGGCCGGTGAATCCGGCTAAGGGCGTCCACAAGGGGGGAAATTCAGTCCTGTTCAGATGCATCTTTTCGAAAGCGTCCCAGTACAGGACGTTGACGTTGCTGCCTGTGTCAACCAAGACTCGCCGAATTATCCAATCTCTGACATCCATGCTAATTACCAGCTCGTCCCTGTGGGGCCCCAGTGACTGGGGCAAGTCTACCGGCCTGAATATGATAGGGTCTCCTTTTTGCTTCTTGGGGGGAGGTGCAGAGATAGAATTGATGTGGAGGGCCCTTTCGAACTTCTTTCTCTCCGCTGGGTGTCCCCGGTTTCCGCACCTCCGAAGATCATCTTGATTTCCAATTTTTTCTTGGAACCAATCGGCCCGAGGGATGTTTCGGGCCGCTTGTCACCGTGACGGAAGTCTATTTCCTTGATCTCGGCCTCACGCCGATCGTCCCGACGCCAGTTGTTGGGCTTCCTGTGATGCTATGAGTTACCCTGGGGGTGCCCTTGCGGTGAATTCCCCGAGGTAACCCCTTTCGATGAGTTTCTGAATGGCGTACTTTAGACTATGGCAATCGTCCGTACGGTGCCCAGGCTTCCGATGATACTCGCAATACGCTTCTCTGTCTGTGCCCATTGTCTACCCCTTGCTAGGCACAGGCTCCCCGAGCAGCCCCTTGCCTTTGATGGCCCCGAAGATATGGCTTATGGGGTAGGCCAAGGGAGCGTACCCGGTATCCCTGCGACGGTCGTCCCCAGAGCGTTCCTGTAGGCCCCAAGGAGCGTAACCGTCGATCGTCTTCTTCTTTGGTGCTGGAGAGTCCTCTAGCCCGGGACCTAGTCGGTCCGCCACTTTGCGTGTTGCAGGGGTTATAACCCCATCCCGCTGAGCAATTTCCTCCTCGATTGCAACGAATTTTTGTGCCCTTGCCAGCACCTCAACGTAGTTATTTCCGGGGTTCCTTTTCAGATCCCAGTAGAGACCCCCGGTGGTGAGTGCGTTGGTGAAGAGAGTAATACCGGTGTCTCTCGGAAGATCCTCTACCTTAAATTTTGTCCCTCCACCTAATGAGAAAAGCGGATAGGGACTCTCTCTTGTTTTGGCGGACGTTCGTCAACCAGCTGAAATGTTTCTTTGGTGTAGAGCTGGAGGCGAACTGCGCCATGAATTGCCTGGAAAGTTGTTCAAAACTGTCAATGGATCCGGGCCTGAGCTGCCCGAACCACTCTTGTGCTGGCCCTCTGAGAGTGCTGAAGAACAGCCTACAGATGGCCTCATTGGAGGCTCCCAGCATGGAGAGCATTCCCTGGAAGGAAATCAAATGAGCTTTGGGGTCCCCGGCCCCGTTGTAAATCAGTGCCGCAGGGGGCCTAATGTCTCTAGGAATGTCCACCGCCATAATCCTGGCGGAGAAAGGAGAAGATATGGCGATCCTGGGTTGAGCTGGGTTTGTATCCGTCCGTCGGCTCAACTCATCGATATGCCTCTGCATGTTCATGAGCATAGCGTCCCGGGGGTCGGTGATCACAGGTGTGGAGTTCGCTAATGCTAAGGCATCATCCCTCCGCATGGTCCCGAAGTTGTGCTGTCCATGGACGACACAGGCCTTCTGCCTCATGCCTTCCATCAGGGGGGGTGTGCTCCCCCACGGCCTGATCATTGCGGGGCATCACTGGGATGTGGTCCTGGTTCGTGTGTCGCCGCGCCCCTCCGAAGAGCCTGGCTCTCCTGTTGTCACCCATGTCCGGAGAGTGAATGTTCCCGACGATCTTGGTATGGACCGATTGGTGAGAATCATCGTTCTCACCAGTACGCTCGCCGTGCATCTGCATCGAACGGATGGGGGGAGAACGGCGTTCGCTCTGTGTTAGCGGAGTACACACGTTCCGCCTCCCGTTCGTCCGCCAAACAGCGGATGGTGTCTGCTATCTCCCTTAAGGAATTCGGATCTCGCCGGACTTCCTGGGGAATCAAGTCAGTGAGAACCCCGAAATCCCCGCGAGACTATAGGCTGCTGGATTGGGCCCCTGCTGCATGGTTGCGGCTCCTCCTGCTGTGAGCTAGCCGCAAAGAGAGATCTTGGGAGTTTCCTGCGTTGTTAGATGTCATCTCACTTGTTTTTTGGTGGGTTTTGGAGTGATCTTGGGAGTTTCCTGCGTTGTTAGCTGTCATCTCCTCCTGGTACGTATGTCCCCTGAGACTTACCTCTCGTTTGGGGTGAACCTCCTCCCGAACCAACAGACAGGCAGACAGGCATCCCCTCGTCCAGGGCTTTCAACAGGACATGCGTAGGGAATCCTCGTGGGCCTTCTGAGGACGTTCGTCGGAAAGCCCCTATGGGTTGATGGGTCATTCGTAGGAGGCCCTTATGGGTTGATGGGCCGGCCCTTATTGGGCCCTTAACCCAACACTTTGCAACAAATATCTATTACGTGGATTCATGATTTTGGTAATATGGTTCAAAGTACCCAATTATTAAGGTACAATATGGTATTAATTGCAATCCATATTTTACTCCAGATCTCTTAGAGGCACTTGTTAAAATGTGAATTAAATACTTTGCACGTGAAATGTAAGGAGGTAAAGAGTCTACATTGTTTTGTTTGATTATTTACGGCAAACACTTCATAAACATTTCATACTAAAATATTTTACACGGGGGAGGGTGGTGAAATAGTTAACATGTGTTTTTATTTATAAATTGTTCCAATTACTTTGCATGCAATTTAAAACTAACTTACATACTCAAGCAAAAACAATTACGTGTAAAGTGATTGACTCCCTAAACGTTGCATGCAATCATTTTGAGTTTTAATATAGAAGCTACCAAATGAGCCCTTAAGTTTACTCATTCATTTGTTGATGATACTGTAGTATCACTTGTGAGACATCTCAAGGATGCACATTGAACTAAGTAACTAACACTTGATCGGCTAAAAATCATAGCGTTTCAAAATACACTTAAAGTTCTCCTTTACAAGTGAATGTATTTATCATTAAAAAAATTACTCCCACCATCCTATATTTATTCCTGTTATGACCTACACATTCATTCATTAAGAAAACAAAATTATATGATGACCTGTATTTGAAAAGGAAATATCCTCCCCCAGACCCCCTCCCCCAGACCCCCCTGGAGTAAAAAAAAAGAAAAGGAAATATTACTCCTTTTTAGGGAATTATCTCATAGAAAACTTGCAAGTACCATACTCATCACATGTGACAGGCGACATTACATGATAAATAAACTTCTCAACATTGTAATCTTAATAAGCTCTGTATGTACGTAGCTTTATCGATCTTTATATATACAAGTAGACAAGTAGTATATATTCATATACGATATATACTAGTACTAGCTATATATTTGACATAGGGTGACGGCCCAAGCCAACTAATTAGCTTTAAATCGATCCTGATGTTACTCACCTGGCCAGCCTAGCTATTTTAGAAACATGCATGCTCGCATAGTTGTTATATAAGCGCGACAAAGGCGGAAAAATCAAAGCATCCAATACTAGCTACATACCATACTTGGTCTGGCTTAGCCAAAAGTTAATTAATGAGCTCCCAAGCTCTATCAGCTCTCTCTATTCTCTATTGTGTGTCTTCCAAACACGTAACTGGCCACTATGTTTTTTTCGTTTGTTATTAATTACGAGCTAATGAGTTTCTGGTTGGCCTACTCTATTAGTGACGGTTAGCTATCTAGGTTCCAAGTATATATCTAAATAGATAGTTATGTCTATAGTGTTTCCCCTTACTTTAATTTTGACAAAAATTTAATCGGTACATTAAGATTTTTAGTATGCATGCATGCATATATATTATGTGTTGTGTGCGCTCCAAAGAGCTAGGAAGGGGAATGTATATAACCTTACCCATAAATTGAATTTAATTAATACATATTCCCATACCATATATATATTTATATGCATGTGTGTATATGTATATATATGTATATATATATATATATATATATAGAGAGAGAGAGAGAGACGTATGCTCAGCAGAAAGCATATATAACACATGCAAAATATAATGAATGAATTTGTACGTACGTAAGAAAAATGGCAGTCAAGCCAGCTTCTCTCTCAACCCCCAAGATTATCACATTTTCTCTCATGTCTGTTTGCTTAACCCTCATTCTTCTGACAACTATTCAAGTCCTCGAAAAAACCTATGAGAATCGCCCGACATGGATGTACCCTAATCTTTCAGTAGTCCAAAAGCCGCCTGATTGGTATCGCGTATTGGAAAGCAGAAATGTAACAAGAATGAAGATTGGTTTAGTCAATAGTGTGAAAAATGATGAGCTTGAGCTTGAGGCCAGTTTATTTGGAGATGTAGCAGCGGCAGAGCTGATTAATGTAAAGTTTCTTCGTGTTAATGAAACTGCTATCCTATGGAAAGACTTGTATCCAGAATGGGTAAATGAGGAAAGACCCGAAAAGTGTCCAGATATCCCAATGCCTCATTGGGAAGAGTACACAGATGAGATAAATGTGATTGTAGCCAGGGTTCCATGTACAGATCATAATAATGTGTTTAGACTACAAGTGAACTTAGTGGTTGCTAACCTTTTAGTCATGAAAAATGGATGGAAAGCTAGTTACAACCAAATCCATGTTGTTTTCATAGGTTGTGAACCCATGCTGGAGATTTTCAGATGTGAGGATCTATTGTGGCATCAAGAAAATTCATGGATATATAAACCTGACTTGAGAAGCCTCGAGCAAAGGGTAGTCATGCCAGTCGGAAGTTGCCAGCTTGCTCATCCATTTCTTCAACCAAGTAAGTTTTAATTTAATTAGCACTTTAATTTCTTGATGCAAAACCCATATATTGCATTCTTGGCTTGTTTATAACTCCAAAAGCTAACTACCTCTTGCACTTTGGTACCCATATAATGTGTTCTTGTCTTGTTCATAACTCCTAAAGCTCATAACCGCCCCACCCTACCATATATGGGGTTTGGAAGATTAAAGCACTCGTAATTGTTTACTCATAAACCGCCCGTTCTGCCTCTTTGGTACCATATATTGCATTATTGTCTTGTTTGCAACTCCAAAGCTAACTAGCTCTTGCACTTGCACACCTTTACTAATATTAATATTCTGTTATATATAAAGCACTATATGCAATAATGTTTTATGTTGCTATAATGGTATACATATGTATGGCAAACGTGAAGGCGAAAGCATATTCATTTATTTTCTTTGATTTATTATTCAAGAATATTTTGGATTTTAGATCATAATAATTTAGCTATATCACCCACACTTTCTTCAACTCATCTACCCACTTCGATCACACGTTCTATCCAAATTTGATAATACATTACATGCTTTTAATTGCTAATTTGGTACATTGAATTATCTTTATATATTTTTTATTCAACCACAGCGGGAACCAAACATTCTGTGAATCCAAAAGGGACAAAACAATCGTGGCCATCTACTAGCCTATATTGAATGCAAATTGAACATAGTTAATAATAATAGCAGTTAGACAACAACTGTTGAAAAATGAAAAATTTTCTTGTGATTACAAACATCATAAGTCTTGTTGAGTTGTTTCACTAGTGTTATACTACTTTCCATATTGTGCTAATTTCCATATATTCATAAAATTAAAAGAACACTACTAGTGATTTTAGAGAACATATATTGTGTGTTTGTGAGGGGAGGAAAAAAGCCTAATTCTTAAGCGAGAAAGCAAAAAAGAAAGAAAAATAGAAATTGTCATGATAGGCAGGATAAGTGAGGGTTCAATGGTAGATCATATAAGCTCTGCAACCAATATATAGTACATATAATCATGATTTTTGTAATGGGGTTCAAAGTACCCAATTATTACGATACATATAAGGTATTACTTGCAATCCATATTTTACTCCAGATCTCTTAGAGGCACTTGGTAAAATGCGAATTAAATATTTTGCAAAAAAAATGTAAGGAGGTAAAATGTCTGCATCGTTTGGTTTGATTATTTAATGCACAACATATTTTATAAACATTTTGCACTAAAATATATTATATGGGGTGGTGGTGGTAAAATATTTAACATGCTTTTTTATCAATCATTCCAATTACTTTGCGTGCAATTTATAACTAAATTACACACTCAGGTAAATAATTTACACGCAAAGTGATTGACTCCCTAAATATTGCATACAATCATTTTCGATGAAAAGATTTAATATACAAACTACCCGCCCTTGAGTTTACTCATTCTGAAAGTGTTATATTTGTCTGACCTGAATGATTCTGATATGCATTTTTTAAAATCTGATTTGATCTATTTTTTTAAATTTGATCTGAATCTTTCAGATCATATATAATCTGCTCTAATTTGATATTAATTTCTCTTATCTGATTTAAATCCTTCTCATCTGATCTGAATCTTCTGATATGATATGATTGTTATTTATTCTATTGGGTGTTTATCATTATTATTAAATGTTGTTATTATTATTATTATTATTATTACTACTACTATTATTATAATTATAGTTATAATTATTATTAGTTATAATTATCACTATAATTATAATTATAAGCATAAGCATAAGCATAACTGTAATTATAGTTACACTTACAACTATAACTACTATTGTAATTATAATGATCATTATATTATCCTTATCTTATCATTATTGTTGTCCTTTTTATACAATTATTATTATCATTATTATAAGTGTTATTAATCCCATTACATTACATAGTATTAATAATATTATTAAATTATAAATACCAACAATCTACATTTATATAATAATGGTAACATACAAATATTAATACTAATAACAGTATACGTATTATTAATAATACTAAAATGTAGTAATAGTATTATCATTAATAATAACCATAGCAACAACATATCATATTTTATTAAGTAATAACAAAATGCAATAATAACAATAATAACGATAATAACGATAATAATGATCATAACCAAAATAAAAATAATAACAATAATAGCAATAACAACAACAGAAACAATTATAATTAGAGTAATAATAATAGTAATAATAGTAATAACAGTAATAATAATAGTAATAATAATTATAATAATAGTAATAATAACAACAATAATAGTAATATTAGTAATAGTAATAGTAATAGTAATAGTAATAGTAATAGTAATAGTAATAGTAATAGTAATAGTAATAGTAATAGTAATAGTAATAGTAATAGTAATAGTAATAGTAATAGTAATAGTAATAGTAATAGTAATAGTAATAGTAATAGTAATAGTAATAGTAATAGTAATAGTAATAGTAATAGTAATAGTAATAGTAATAGTAATAGTAATAGCAATAGTAATAGTAATAGTAATAACAACAATACTAATAACAATACTAATAACATACTTATAACACTTCTAATAAGAATAATAATAACAATAATAAAAATAATAATAATAATAATAATAATTATAATAATAATAATAATAATAATAATAATAATAATAATAATAGTAATAATAATGATAATAATAATAATAATGATGATGATGATGATAATGATAATGATAATAATGATAATGATGATAATGATAATAATGATAATGATAATATTAATAATGATAATAATAGTAATAATAATAATATTAATAATAATAATAACAACAACAACAACAACAATAAGAATATGAATAGCAACAACAACAACAATAAGATTCGATCTGATTCGAATCGAATGATTCTGATCTGATCTGAATATTTGTGATCTAATTCGAATCTTTCTCATTTGATATGATCTGAATCTTTCTGATCTGGTTTGTATCTTTCATTTCTAATCTGATTATAATCATTTTGGTGATCTGATATGATCTGATTTTTTCTGATCTGAATAAAATAAGAATGACCAATAAGTAATAAGAATAAGACGAACAGAACAACTTCTCAGATTTTATGATACTATAGTATCACTTGTGAGACGTCTTAAGGATCCGCTTTGTGCTTACACTTGTAGGCTTAAGAAAGTTTTTTTTACAAGTGAATGTATTTATAATAAAAGAATTACTCCCACGATCCTTCATTTATTCCCGCTATGCCCTACACATTCATTTACTAAGAAACCAATATTATACTTTGAGGCTTACTTTTTTTTTATCGTTACTTTGAGGTTTACTTGAAAAGGAAAAAGTAAATATGAATCGCAGAATTCTTAACTCAAAAGAAAATATAGGGATCATGTAGAAATAGATAACAAAGAACTATGTGAGGATAATTTGGTGGCATGGGGATAATGTTTAGCTAAAAAATGATATGTCTCACGAGTGGTTTAATCTGCCAAACCCATATGATATACGTAGTACAAGTTTTGCATATTAGCCTCTCGTGATTCAAAAAATGCATCGAAACTCCATGAATTCTAATTAACCGTGCACTTAATACCGTGAAATGACAAACTTAAATGCTTAAAAGACATGTGCAGTGTCATATTTGATCATTTACATAATTTCTTAGATGCCCAAATAAGTGACAAAGATGAGTTTTTAGCCATGTTGAGTGACAGGTATTATGTGCATGATTAATAATAAGACACGTGGTTTTGATGCATATTTTAAATCATAATAAGCTAATGTGTAGAATTTGTATATATAACTTGAACTTGACGAATTACGCCTACATAACGGGATTGAGGTATGCGAGATCATCACATGCAAGCTTAACAACAAATTGACCACACATCGTTATTTTGTTATTTTTTTTTTAAATTTGAGGTAGATACCTTTTTGAACACAGGTCAAGAATTGCACAAAAGGGGCTATAATGAGACCCCACATCAGCCAAGAGAGGCTTATGTAACTATCATCCATTCATCAGAAACTTATGTATGTGGTGCAATAGTCTTAGCCCAAAGCATAAAACAATCCACCTTAACAAAAGAACTTATCGTCCTAGTGGATGAAACTATATCTCAAAAATCCATTCATGGCCTCGAAGAAGCGGGATGGAAAGTCAAGAAAATCAAAAGGATTCGAAGCCCACATGCAATGAAACACGCATATAACGAATGGAACTACAGCAAACTTTGGATATGGCAACTTGTAGAGTATGAGAAACTCATCTTCATAGACTCGGATTTCATTGTCTTGAGAAACTTGGACAAGTTCTTCACATACCCACAAATATCAGCAGTTGGGAATAGCAGACATGTGTTCAACTCTGGTCTAATGCTAATAGAACCATCAGAATGTACCTTTAAATCCCTAATGGAGAAAACTAAAACCACCGGCTCATACAATGGGGGTGATCAAGGCTTTTTGAATGAAGTTTTCTCATGGTGGCACCGGTTCCCATCCGGGTTGAATTTCATAAAGAATTTCAAAGCAATTCAAGGTGATAAACATGAAGTGCCAAATAATGTGTACACTGTGCACTTTATTGGCATGAAGCCATGGATGTGTTATCGAGATTATGATTGTAACTGGGACAACATAAATAACCAACATTTAGCGAGTGACATGGCACACAGATTGTGGTGGAAAGTTCATGATAAAATGCCTCAAAACTTAAAGCAGTATTGTGCTCTAAAACCACGGGTAGAAGCAGAGATAAGAATGTGGAGGGAAAAGGCAAAGAATGCTAGTTTGGCTGATGGACACTGGAAAATCCCACTGAGAGATCCAAGAAGAAGTTCCCTTGTTTGATTGTTGTTCTCTTTCTACCTTTTGAAGTAGGATTCTAGTTATGGGTAGTTAACAATTAACTTTACATTGGTTAAAGAAGTACTCTCTCTATTCAACAAAAATATCCATTACTATGCACTCAAATTGAGTAATGATGATTGCTAAGTTAGTATGAACACTTAATTTTATACTCCATCTGTCCCACAAAACTCTGCCAAAATTGACTTGCACGTAGATTAATAAAGTAAAAACTGTGTGGTTGAAACTTGTGCAAAGGACAGAGAAATAACTTTAGCCACATATTCCTTACTTTAAATGGAAATGACAGTTTTTTGGGACACCAAAAGAGGAAAATTTGGCCAAGTTTTATGGGACGAATGAAGTAGGAAATTCTCATTTTTACTCTTTGTAAATTAATGATTTTCTCTGCAAGAATATTGTTTACTCTTTATGTTGGCGGTTAAGTAAGTATAAAGTTGGAACGGAAAAAATGTACATCAAACAAAGAACATGACTATCATTATGGGACATACAAAAATGCAATAGTGGACTATCTTTGTGGGACAGAGGAACTAGATGTTTTGTTTGGGATTTGGACCTGAGCTTTAATGAGTGTCCACTAGAAATAGAAGTTTTTATGGTAGTCATACCACCAACTATATGTTGACAAGATTAATTGGTCTTTGATCTTGTAGAAGAATTCAAGATATGTTTGAGAGGGGTTTTAGAGGGGAAATGAGGAATTATTGTTCAGTTTAGAACATATAGAAAGTAAACGTCATATATTTTTAAAATAAAAATATAGTACAAAACGATAAATTAGTATAAAGTAAAGTCAATGTAATTGTTATTATCTATTACTGCAAACCATATATAGTTCTCTAAAAAATACCTCTCACACCCCTCCCCTTGAAAAAACATACCCTTAAGGTTCTCTAATATAAAAACAAACACGCACACAAAGATCATATCTATAGGTATATATTCATTTTTGTCATGCGTTCAATGGGAGTTCTTCAAATCCTTGAAAAAACAGGTGGTCATAATATGCAATCTAGTGTAGTAGTGTGGTGGTAGTATATAGATCCAAAACAACCCAAATTCTAGTAGTGTATGTCTTTTATCTCATTAATTAAAATCATATAAGTCGTTCACCTTTGTGTTTAGTTAATTAAATCAAATCAACCTTAAAACCTGTTAGTACCCAATTTTGATAGATTTTGATGATGCCACTACACTTTGCACATGTACATTGTGTCTCATATAAAAGCATTTAAATTAAGTGACAAAAATAAATGTACAATTTTTGAGACTAAAGAAATATTACCGGAAAAGTAAAAATGCAATAAGGTAATTTTTATTTATCTTAATAGGATATTTAGATCCTACCGGCAAATATTATTTAGCTCAAAGATTATTTAAGTGTCACATTTTAGAGGAAAGATGCTCGAAAATAATACACATTCAATGTGTATGATTGGAAGACAAAACTAGGACCAGCCTTAAATGCCAAATAAAGTACTGGGTCCGGAGCATTAAAGTGCACACATGGGACTGCTTTTGAAATGATATTTCAGCGGCTGAAGACAAGGAAATCACCGGGAAATCAGCTCCAGCACAAACAAGTTAACAACTCGTCCTTGTCCAATATTCAACGAAAAAGATCAATCCATCCTAACCAACAGATGAGATTAATCTACTGGAGTAGCCTATAAATATAGGCTGAAACGAAAGTTTCTAACTAAGCTTTGAGCATCCAAAGTAGAGAAAAATATCCTTCGAGCATTCAAGAGCTATCTAGCAAAAGAGAAAGTGCAAACTTAACTTCACTCTCTGCTTGGACTCATGCTTCACTAAACTTCCAGTTGATAAGCTATTTATTGCTAAATCATAGAAGTTTAGTTCCTAGTTGGAGGTTAGAACTTTCTGGTAACATTTCACAAATTGTTGTAAACACTTAGGAGAACCGTTGTTCGAATCCTAAGGTGTGGATAGATAGATAGAGTACCCTTTAATCCCCACTGGTTTAATTGAGAAAAATCTAAGGACTGAGTAACTTTGAGTGGTGTTATACTCAATGTGAAAAACCTTCAATCTAGGTCTAAGTGTTGTAAAGGCTAGATTGGCACTAAGTGTATTGGGCTTAATACTTTAGTGAAATCCATCTGAAAGAGGGAGGGACTGAACGTAGGAGGATTACACCACCTCTGAATCAGGATATACTATGTATTGATTTACATTTATTCAACAAAGCACACACTTAGCACTTCTCACAAAAAGATTGAAGTTTGCCAGCAGAATCCTAAGCAGTTGTCTTAACTGACCCAACTGCTTATCCTACTGCTTAATTACTTACTTTCTTTGAGACTATTTTTTCACAAGAAACGTGCATCAATATCACTAAAAGTCCTGTTCTATCAGTTTCCAGAAATTCATTTTCTAAGTATAGCAGGTGCCTCAGCAATTCCCTGGTGACCACCCAACTGCTGAGCCCTCTGCTCATATACACTTGTTTCCCTTGAACATCTCAACATCACTAGACTCTAATAACATCATCACTAAGAAGTTTTGATTAAATTGATCTCTGAAAAATCTTCTTATAACCTAAGCAGGTGGCTCAGCAGTTCCCTCATTACCACCCAACTGCTGAAATCACTGCTCTAGTAAAACTTCGTTTTACTCCTATTAAAGCACATTTTCAGACAGCCCTCATCATTCTAAACAATTTTCCATAATCCCTTTCATCATAAATTCAATATCTGTCTAGCAGTTGCCTCAGCAGTTCCCTGCTACCTAGCCAACTGTTAAGCCAACTGCCAAGCCAACTGGTAGCTATCTAAGTCAAACCTTCTCCAAGTTAGAAAGTGGTTATACACTAATTACATAGAGGGTAAAGACTTCCGTTGTGCATCTATAAATCTCTCAAAAGATTATAGATTAACTCTTTTAGAGGGAAAAACGTTTCAAAGTTGAAAAAGATTTAAAAGTCTATTCACCCCCCCCTCTAGACTTTTACCTTATCCGGGACCATCAAGTGGTATCAGAGCGGTGTGTTCCTAGAGTCAGTTTCTGACTAATTTGAACCAAAGATCCAAAACCACTCTACTTCCCAAAACACTTTCTAAAAATGGACAGTCAGTTAGCAAAGAATCTTTTGTTCAACTCGAACAAATTTGATGACTGGAAGATCAGGATGAAAGCACATCTCAATGCTCTACATGATGAATTGCTAGAAGTGATTACAGTTGGACCTATCAAAATCATGAAGGTTAGCACTTCTAAAACTGATGATGAAGAGGATGTATACATTCCAAAACCCAAATTGGAATGGACAACTGAGACAGAAAGAGAAACAATCTTGACAACATTGCCAAAGATATTCTCTTCAAATCTGTTGATGAATCCATATTTCCTAGAATCAGGAAATGTGAAACTGCCAAAGATGTCTGGGATGAGCTCACTAAGATTGGAGTTGGTGATGAACAAGAAAAGGATAACAAACTGACCATAGCCCTCAAGAAATTTGAGGACTTCAAAATGCTGCCTAATGAGTCTATTCATGAGATGGAATCCAGGTTCCTAAAGATCATAGCAGAGGTCTCAGACCTAGGGAAAGATCTACCCCAAAATCATGATGACTAATTTGAACCAAAGATCATAGCAGCGATGTGTTCCTAGAGTCAGTTTCTGACTAATTTGAACCAAAGATCCAAAACCACTCTACTTCCCAAAACACTTTCTAAAAATGGACAGTCAGTTAGCAAAGAATCTTTTGTTCAACTCGAACAAATTTGATGACTGGAAGATCAGGATGAAAGCACATCTCAATGCTCTACATGATGAAATGCTAGAAGTGATTACAGTTGGACCTATCAAAATCATGAAGGTCAGCACTTCTAAAACTGATGATGAAGAGGATGTATACATTCCAAAACCCAAATTGGAATGGACAACTGAGATAGAAAGAGAAACAATCTTGACAACATTGCCAAAGATATTCTCTTCAAATCTGTTGATGAATCCATATTTCCCAGAATCAGGAAATGTGAAACTGCCAAAGATGTCTGGGATGAGCTCACTAAGATTGGAGTTGGTGATGAACAAGAAAAGGATAACAAACTGACCATAGCCCTCAAGAAATTTGAGGACTTCAAAATGCTGCCTAATGAGTCTATTCATGAGATGGAATCCAGGTTCCTAAAGATCATAGCAGAGGTCTCAGACCTAGGGAAAGATCTACCCCAAAATCATGATGACTAATTTGAACCAAAGATCATAGCAGCGATGTGTTCCTAGAGTCAGTTTCTGACTAATTTGAACCAAAGATTCAAAACCACTCTACTTCCCAAAACACTTTCTAAAAATGGACAGTCAGTTAGCAAAGAATCTTTTGTTCAACTCGAACAAATTTGATGACTGGAAGATCAGGATGAAAGCACATCTCAATGCTCTACATGATGAAATGCTAGAAGTGATTACAGTTGGACCTATCAAAATCATGAAGGTCAGCACTTCTAAAACTGATGATGAAGAGGATGTATACATTCCAAAACCCAAATTGGAATGGACAACTGAGATAGAAAGAGAAACAATCTTGACAACATTGCCAAAGATATTCTCTTCAAATATGTTGATGAATCCATATTTCCCAGAATCAGGAAATGTGAAACTGTCAAAGATGTCTGGGATGAGCTCACTAAGATTGGAGTTGGTGATGAACAAGAAAAGGATAACAAACTGACCATAGCCCTCAAGAAATTTGAGGACTTCAAAATGCTGCCTAATGAGTCTATTCATGAGATGGAATCCAGGTTCCTAAAGATCATAGCAGAGGTCTCAGACCTAGGGAAAGATCTACCCCAAAAGGAGATTTACCTTAAAGTCTCTAGAGGCCTGCCATCAAAGTGGGATATGAAGGTGACTGCTATGAGAGATAGCAGAGATCTCAGAACTTTGTCAACTGGCAAACTCTTAAGTGATCTCAAAGCATATGAATTTGAGATGAAGGAGATCAAAGATGAAAAGGAAGAAGAATCCAAGACACTAGCCTTAGTGTCTGAGCCAAACACTTCAAAATCTAGTGAAAAATCCCTCAACAATATCCTCACTGATGAGCAGTTTGCTATG